TGTCTCTCACCTTACCTTGTTTTGTGAAAAGAAGCAGAGCAATTGACAGGGGAACAGAGGATAAAATGTAATTTACCCTGCATTTTGCCTCCAAGTAACAGTCAACTAAACTGGTAAAATGTAACAGGTTGAGCCAGCTGGCAGATGCTTTTCCCTTGAATCTACATATATACATGGGAGCCTTCCTTCCTCGCTGAGGATTTTTTTGATTGTGAATCTGTGCTGCCAATGTATCTGACTTTTGAATCTTTGTGATTTTTTCTATGTTTTTAGGTGTGGTTTTTATGCAGTCAAATTATAATAAATATGTTACAAATAATATGATATTATGAATTATATACAAATAAAAATGCCATTATAATTTTCCATGTAGTTTCATTAAAATACACAATATATTTAAGTTGACTAGAGGGCTGTACGAGGAAGTGGGGAGACTGTAGAAAGAAACATAGATTTTAAACCTTCTCTCATATAGACCCAACTGTAATATAGTAGCTCACAATGTCTTAGTGAAAAAGAAATGAATTCTGTTTAATTGATTTCAGAAAGAAATTAAATATATTGAAAATGTTAACATTTGTGTTTGTTTGTTTTAAGGCTTATAGGTATTTGGACATTTACGTTTGCATGAAGCATCCTTCATATTTTTGTTTCTTGCGTGTATGCAATATACATAATTAAGGTCTAAATGGTAATTTATTTTATTCATTAAAAAAACAGGATTCAAAATAGTAGAAGTTTTGTCTAAATCCCATAAGCACCATTAAACCTGATATATATGTATGTATATATATATATATTTTTTTAAAAAGCGAATTTATTTAAGGAATTTGTATGTCCACCAGTTTCACGCAATCTATTGTTACATCTAGTTCATGACAGGCCACTCTGGAAATTTGTCCTGCTATTAGCCATGTTAGGATTTTTGACACTGCATAAACTACAAGAATAATGCTTTTAGTTCCATTTTTTTTTAAAATTGCATTGGGTCAAATGTTCTTTTATATTAATCAAATACTGGTTTCATGTAGATGTTTATTGGAACTTGAAGGTATGAGACTGGATTTCTCCTTTTACTGTAATGTGCCATTCTAGGCTAGCTGGACATAAATACTCAGAGATCTTCCTCTTTTGACACTTCTCTAATATTCTGGAATTGCATAATACCAGAATGCTTGCTTTAGAAAATTACTATTTTGAAAATGTCTTCTAGGTTTCTAAATTTCCAAATGAGCATGTTGTTGACTGTCTCAGGTTACAATGTAAACATAAAGGTAAAAAAATAAGATAAAGACTATAACTCACAGACTACACTGTTTACTAGTCTAAAGAAAATGGTATTCAGCTTACTCACCAAGTTTGATATGGTTGTGTAACATCAATATTAAATTATCTTTTCTGAATTGTAGATGATAATGTGAAAAACATGGGTAAATATCTGGGTTCTACCACTACCATCCTTATCCATATAGTATAATGAGAACAGATGGAGGTAAGTCTATGCCAAATGAATAAAACTGAATAAAAATTTGTGGGTATATTTAGCCAATGGGGTACTCCTCAGTGGTAAAAGACATCTTCAAATTTGCAGTCAAAAAAAAAAAAACGAAATTAGAAATCTCTCTCTTGAGTGAGTTAACACAGATCAGATTGATGAGGATTGTTTGTAGCCAATCATCAGTGAACACCAAATAAAGCAAACCTATACCCCATGATGCCAGACAAGCTAAGTAAAAAGGGGAACATAAAGGAAACAAACATTCATCCTTTGACAGCTCCAGTCTATGCCCCAGAGCATGTGGGTTCCTGAAGACATCCACTCGGAGCTTGGCAAAACTGGCCTTTGCGCAAAGAACTCCCCATGTCCTGACACTGGAAAAAATGCACGATGTCTGATCTGGACAAGCATGATCAAAGAAAAAAGATTTCCAAACTTTGACAAGACAGGTTAAGATGAATTTCAAATTCTTCCTGCTTCTGAAAATGGTCTGTCAGTGACAATATCTCTACGAAAATGTTATTTGCTCTAATGTTGAAAACTAAACTTGGCTGATAGCCTACATAGCTGGTTGTCTCTGTCATATATTGCACATTTGAATATTGTTTCTTTGTACTTCATTTTTATGTAATATTATTTTTCTCTCAATTTTTCAATGGGTTTGAATACTATGTAGGCATAGTTACATTCCTCTCATGACTTCTACAAGCCATTACTAATATCAGACTTGGACTCCATAGGATAGGAGAATTATTGAAATATTTAGGATATATTTCTGTCTTGGTATTTTTTATGATGCATTTATCTCTACTTTTTGTTTTGCTTTTCAAGACAGGGTTTCTCTGGTAACTCTAATTTTTATACTTGATATCTGTTCTTATTTGTATGTAGTTTTACAATGGGTTTAATACTCTCTTATTTAAATAAAAGGGAGAGGTGCTCTGGGAACTCCTTAAGACAATGGCTTTGGATTCTGGGCCACTTGGACATGGTCTTGGCATACTATACCAACAGATCAAGAAACATGCTCTTGCTCATTCTTGTCAGTCTGATTCTGTTCCCTTTTCCCTGCTCGTGCAGAGGACTGTTGATCTGAGAGGCTACCTCCAAATAAAGAATCCTTTATTATAATCTAATCCAAACTGATGAGGGACTATTTTATCATGATGCTCTAAAAATACAGTTTTTCCTCAACTGTAGTACACATTTAATTCAATAAGAACTTTGCTATTTTACAGAACTTAATTGTTATGAAACATGGAAGATCCAAAAATATTGATTATAAGATGAACAAATAATGATTATGACATAGTGATTAATGTTCACAAATTAATCATTAGTTCCTATTGAACTATAGGGTCTAGCTCAAGGAGTGGAATATATGAGGCAATTTCTAAAATTATTTTTTCAGGTATCCAATTATGCTATGAAAATCAGTTTTTTTTTATCTTAACAGATGTTCTTTTCATCCTGGAATGCAATGATAAATATCAGAGCACTCTTTATATATTGAGATGTTTGTAAGTCCTCTGTGATCAACAATTTCTTGGAATATAAGACCTGAAATAAATAGCCTTCATTATTCACAAAGTTGGAGCCTCAGAAATTATGTTTTCATACTTTATGTACGATATAATATTTAAAGGCAATTTTTTTAAAACTTTCCTAATCACCTTGTTGAATTCCATTTCTGTCATACTCTACTATCAAATTCTCAATGATAATTTGTATACCGTGTGAATAAATTTTCTAGAATTCTTAGAACACATTTGAATGCCTCTTAATTAATAACAGCTGTGGGTCTTGATCTACTTGTGTCACCTCTGACAATGGGAGAAGTGTCTGTCCATGCTGTTGGACTGGTGCTCTGTAACCTGCTTCTTATACTGGATAGCCTTGCTCTGCTAAATACAGGGGCAGGTGTTGGCCTTATAGTAGAGGAATATGTCATGCTGTTCTGGCATCCCTGAGAGGCCTGCCCCCTATCATGGAAATAATGTAGAGGAATAGAATAAGGGGGCAAAGGAGGAGCTGGCAAAGAGATTGAGAGGGAATCTGCAGTCAGGAATGACACAAAATTGACATAATTGAATAAATGAATGAATGAGCATATAAACAGATATAAAGGTCATTTGCATGCCACAAAGTTAAAAAACACAAATAAGAAACCAGATGCTTAAAAAATAGAAAATATAATGAGTTATAAATAGAAAGAAATTATATCTTGTAAATTAAAATTAAATTAATTTTTTATGAACCTATAATAATGATTAGCTCTGTGAAGAAATATTGAAGAAAATTTATAAAAATTTTCAAATTACTACTTGTCAGCCTTTGCTTTAGTGTGCTTTGTTGTATCAGTGACAATGGGCATGTTTCTTACTTCTGTCAGATAGGCATAGCCTGCCATTATTACCTGTCAGAAATTCTACCTGTCACTCTCAACTGGACTGTGACATGATTCTGAGAAGTAGTGAGGTTCATCAGGGTTCTGATTTCATTGTAAGCAAATTGATGTTTATTAGTTTAACTAGGTGTTAGTTTCTGCTTTTTTTTTTCTCTGAAAATCGGCCTTCAACAATATGTGGAACCATTTTACTAAAATTGCTCCTTTCTATAGAGAACCATTTAAAGCTTATAGTATTATGTCTTTGTAACTATTTAAGGTTTCATTAGCTTAACACTGCTGGAGGTTTTTTTGGTGGCTGAAAAACCTCTTTTGCCCAAATTTATCCACACAACTTTGGGTATGGACGAATGTTCCAACCTCTACAGATACTTTACTAATTTCAAAGTCTTCACATCTTGCATTGCAATTTGCAAAATTCTCCCTTTCTTACATATATCTGCTCTTTGTTAGAATGTGACTTCCTTTAAAGAAACCAGCATCCTGGAATCAGTCATCTCATTAGAGATCACATGCCCACTGTCTACCATATTAGCATAAGAAATGTCATACATCATATGAGTTTCTTCACCTTGGGGTTCAGCATAGAGATTTCAATCCTTAGCACTTACGTTTCCGAAGAGATTTGTGTCTTTGTTTTGGAATGCTTGATTTTAAAATAATCAAACAGCTGTAAAACTTAAAAAAAAGAAAAAATGGAAGAATACAAAAATAACTTGGTAAGGAAAATTCCAAAATTGGACGTATGACCATAACAAGAAAAGATAAAATATTCTCACAAACGATGTCTTCATGAGAAAGCAACAGCATTGTAATGTTGAGGGTAAGCATGCTAGTTAATATGCACTAGAGTGTTAAACATCAGCTTTATATGCCATAAAAACATCATTTTACAACAATTTTAATCATGCACAGTTCTTCAAAGAGCTAAAAATTTGCAGTGTTTATTCTAGTTACATTTTATTAATGCATATTACTTACCATTCATTATTCTTGGACTTATAAATACTTCATGCCATGTGTAGATTCAATTTATATCCCCAAAAAAGGATACTTTATTTGAAGACAGCATATCAGAAGGAATACATCTGTCGGCGGATGCTGATGGCTTGTATCCTAATGCCCTGACTGGAAATAACCAATCAGAAACTATATTATTTAAAGTACTGTCTGGCCAATAGCTTAAGAGTACTGCTAGCTTACTCCTATATCCTAAAATAACCCACTTCTCCTAATCTGTGGACGACCATGAGGTCGTGGCTTACTGGCAAATTTCAGAAGATGCCAGGAAAGGTATCTGTTTTTGGCAGCAGCTTCATGACTTCTCAGTGACTCTTCCTAATTTTTCTATATAGCTCCTTCAGGCTTTCTTTACTCTGCTGAGACATTGGTTGATTCAGCTTACTTATTAACAAATGGCAATACAAGGTATTCACAGAATATATCACCTCCTAAATCAGCTTCCCTTTTCTTTCTAAATAAAAGAGAAAGATTTGACTTTAACATACTAATATTGTATATAAAAATAGTTATCTAGCAAGAATCACAATTATGATATTCATATGTATCTTATTTTATCACAACTAAGGAAACTATAACTATTTATTCTTTTTATAGTATATAACATTTTATTTCCTGAGTATCCTCTTTTTATTATGAACAACAATGACATCCTTTCTAATGATCTCTGTGTTTGCAGGGATGCTCTTACACTAGAAAATGGAGATTTTATCCTTCCAGCAACTCAGCCTCCACAAGCTTTGTGATCCTTTGTTGTATCATTGCAAAGAGAATTGGTTGCAAAAATGTCTTCATCTCGATGGAAGAATTTATTGCTCTGATAAAAGGCAGGACCTTAAGGTTTACTGATTCAGCTCTACTGAAGATAGAGCAAGGAACATCTAGGGCATCTAGGGCTTTTTTTTAATTGTATGACTAGGTCATTTTAGCAAACCTAGGCAAAGGTAGTGAATAGCTGAAGATATCAAAGTAAGTTCAGCCTAAGAGGGAAAGTCGGGAACAGATATTTAGTTTGTTGAAATGAAAAGGAACCTCATTTGAAAAGGTCCAAGCAAGAAGTAATTCAACCTATTTCATTCTCTAGGAAGTTAGCTGGGCCCCAGTACTGTATCAATAAATCACATATTGAATCTGCCTCTTTGGACAATGTATTAGTTTCCTGTGTCTGCTGAGACAAATCACCAACATTTTGTTGTTTTAAAGCAACACGAGTGGATAATACTCCTGATTGTTTGTGGACTAAATGGATTTTTCTCATCTCAAAACAAGGTGTTATGAGGCTGCTTTCCTTCTGGGACTTTTGATCAGGAGTCCATACTGATGCCATACAAAGTGACTGGTGACTTCCTGCCTTTTCAGTGAATGCTTGCCTTTCTTACATTTTCTTTTAGGTCCTTTATCATCACAATAAAGACCTCTGTGGGTATACTGAGATAGCTAATCTAAATAGTACACGATCACTTGTACATCTCAAACTCATGAACTTCATGGTAACTACAACGTCTTCTTGGCCATATCAGGGAATGTTCACAGCCTCTGTTGATTAAGACAAAGGGATTTCTAGATTTATCACACCTGTCACAGAAGAGGAAAGAGTTCTTTGGATTCTAATTTGAATGCATATGCTTCATCAAAGCAGAGGCATAAGGAAGTAAGTACTGTGAGACCTCATATGTGTGATGATCATTTTAACATCTGTCTGTGCACTTTCTGCTTTGTGTTGCATCAGCAGTAATAAAGGTGACCATCACCATATCTGTGGTGATAATTTTACATCCTCAAAGGGCAGGAGAGAAGCCACTTTAGTTCTTTTAAAGATCTTATGACTAATAAAATGTTGGCAAGGTTAAGATCATATCATTTCCATGAGATGTATTTCAACATAAAGTTGTACAAGAAGGTGTGTCATGTAAAGAGTAACATTTTATCTGCTCTGGTTCTTTTTTTCTCTGACATCTATCTCTATGCAACAAGAGAGGAGACAAGATAAAGATTTGCTTTAATGAAAGAAGATACAAATTTGCTAATTCAATTGACACGTTGTCAATACAGAAAACATAGTTCATCACAGTAATTAGACTTGACAGTGACATAATCAACAGAACATGTATAAAATTAGACAAAGATTAAACACACCAATGATAGAAGCAGGATGGGCATGTGTGAACCATGCAATGAGAATGTGTGGCCAGGAAGCCTATAATGTTTTACAAAGTACAAATCTAGACCCTCTTGTGATGTGGGAGGGTCATATATCATTCTGTTGATTTCATTGGTTAAGCAATAAAGAAACTGCTTGGCCCTCATAGGTTAAAACATAGGTGGGAGGAGTAAACAGAACAGAATGCTGGGAGAGAGAAGCTGAGTCAGGAGTCACCATAATTCTCCCACTCCAGGCAGACGCAGGTTAAGATCATTCCTGGAAAGCCAGCTCGTGGGATACAGCAGATTATTAGATATGGGCTAGTCCAGGTGCGAGAGCTAGCCTAGAAGAGGCTAGATAGAATTGGGCCAAGCGGTGTTTAAAAGAATACAGTTTCGGTATAATTATTTCGGGGCATAAGCTAGAGCTAGCCACATTGGCGGCCGGGTGACTGGGATGCAGCCCCGCTGCTCTTTTTTCAACACTCTCCTTAAATAGAAAGATGTCGTACTCAGTGATGACAAGCTTTGGGTCAATGCAAACATACAGGGTTTCGCTAGTCTTATGTATACAGCAGCAGACAGTTGAGAAACTTGAGATGTAGTAAATGAGAAAAAGTATGGTACATAATGAAAGAAAAATTGATTAAAAGAGTGAAAAGAAACAGGAACAAAGGCAACATCCATTTTGCTAATCTGTGACCTCCAAGAGCAATAACAGCACAAAGAAACACAAATACAACATGAAAAACTTGCAGTGGTTAACGCCATTTTGAAAGGAGTATAAAGCTGGGAAGTCAAAGCTTCAAGGAAATACCTGATTCAGAGAGGCTCAGACTCATATGGAGGATTCCTGTTTTGAAGTATGCTTAGTTAAAACACTCATTGTAGATTATTCTGTAAAATCAGAATGTGCTGGAAAAGAGAGAACAAAGGCAGAATAAAAAGTGAGATAATAGAAACATAACAGGACACAACAAAAAGTCGTCTCATTAAAAAGCCGAGGATGAACAGGAGAATGTGGAATAATAGCAAAAAGACAATGGTTTGTTCTCTACAACACTGAAAAGATTTCTACATTCTTTTCTGCTGAAAATGTACTTCAGCTTAATAACAATAGTGAACTCATATTTTAACCCCTCAAAGTTAGGTGAGGAGATATGTATTTCTTCTTAATTAGAGTTCTTAACTCTGGGGACAGTAAGAAAGTGCCAGAGTAGGAAACCAGGGATTTCTGTTAAAAACTTTACTGAACCCACGAATTTCTGTGTCTAGACTGCATCAAACATGTATTTATTGTTTCATTCTCTGTTCGTTTTTTTGTTTGCATTGCTTAATTTTAAGTCACAAAAATATCACAATGTGTGCTCTTTGAAACAAAACAGTGTAATACAGAAATTTACATATCATTGCATTTACTTCAATGTCTTCCCAATGGGTAGATGTTGGTTTAGAAGGCTTGCTTTCAGATAACATGCCTGACTATGAATATGATACTGATGTATACATAATTAGAAGGATTTTCATAGACTTCAGCATGATCTTTTGTAACTTTATTTGAAATAGTACTAAATGTTTTTTTTTTTTACCAAATTTTTCCTATTTGTTATAATTCTTGTATTAATTTATCAGGTCTTTAAAGACATTTATCTTTATGTTTAGCATTCCTGATCATTCTTATTCTTTTAAGTCAAAACTGTGGATTATTGCATGTTATGAAATGTTTACCCAGCATCTCAAGAAATTAATTATGTGGAGTTTATTATTTAATCTATTACTCTTCAGTAAATATTGTTTTTAGGCTACAAATCTATTCCGACTGTTGTCGAATAATGGGGAAAAGGATTAACCGTTTTATCCCTTATTTTTGGTAGGCATAATACCTAATAAAAATATTTGGCTAGGTGGTATCATTGTTACTTTTAGCTACAAGTAATGTCACTTTATGGCTGTCAACTGGAAGATTGCCCCATCAAGAACTCTTCAAAACGTTTGCTTCCATTTGATATGAGGAACAAAACAAGTTTAGTAAATTGTTATTTGGTGCCAGGTTTTACCAAGGTGAATTATATAACTTCAAACAAACTTCATCAAACTGCTGAAAATAAGAGAAAATGTGAACTAAACAAAACAATAAGTAACATTATGTGCAAAAAACTCTGGTAAATAACTCTAAGTCCCTTCAGAAGCAGGAGGTTAGAAAGTGGAACAGAATGCTGAAATGCTAAACAACAAAACAAAACAGGCAAATGTGAGTAATCAAATACAATAAGTACAAAAATCTATCAATCCAAAGTGCAGTCAGAGAAAATAACCTTCAAATACACAGGTCAAATAAATTATGTATATAGCATAGAGAATTGTCAGCAATATTTTATACCAAAAAAGCTAAAGGTATTTTTCTGTTTGCAAAGATAATACTCATTGAAACCAAGTGGTCTACAGGAAAGAAAAGTTAGAATAAGTTATAAAGTTCCAATAATGTCAACTCACTAAAGAATAGTAGGACAGTTGAATTATTAAATCCGAAGGTGTGGTAATATTTTACTTGTGTTCAAAAAAAATAAAACTTGCCTTAATATCAAAGAACAGAACTAGCTATTAGTTAACCATAGAGGTCTGGACGCCTGTACAGACAGACAGGAAGTAATATGGCTGGCTGGAGAGAGGAATATAAGGTAGGAGGAGAAAGGAGATCAGCCTTTTATTTCTGGTGAGGTGTTAGCAAGGTAAGAGTTTACTGTGACTTGTTCCTTTGTCTCTCTGATCTTTCAGCATTTACCCTTATGTGTGGCTTCAGTTTTTTTTTTTTTTTTATTAATTCCAATAGAACTCATGCAACACAAAGTCTTGCAGAAAACTCCTGTTTAGCTGGCTCTTAAAAATCTTTCCACCACCACCACCAGACCTTCAAGTTATACCTGAGCTTTAGCTGGGAGAATATTTTGTAGATGTATTTATTGGGACTAAAATCCATAACTGTTATTTATTTATTTATTTATAATTTCAACGTTCTCCCATCCAGCACCCATATTTGATGGGACTATCTCTGGTGACACCAACTCATGCCTAAGATCTGATATGTAATAATTCAAAATTGACTCCTACTTAGTGCAATACAATCTAGTTTTTTTTTTTTATAGGGATGAGCAGCTGAGAAATGGAATATAGTCACGGCAGGACTAGTAAGGACCTGCTATGCTGAAAGTGTTATTAGCAGTCCTTGCCTCACACAGCAGGATTGTGTGTGCTTTCAAATTGTTCCTGGATTATGAACCAAAGACAAGAATGATCTCCATTCTACCAATAGGAACAAATCCTGTGGTAACCATGGAGATGTCCATCAGAGCTGCTGCCTCATTTCTCTCTCCCTTCTCAAGGTGTGGTCTGGCAGAAAAAAATGAAAGTAAAAGTGGATGATAGAAAAAAAAATTAAAAACGCAGTTTTTCTCAGACCTGAATCCAATAATAAGAGGGGAAATCCCTGCGAGGAAATTAGGAGTTGATCATATATCCCACTTCTTGGGTCTGTATCCTGCCTATCTTCCTGAAATCCAAGATTTCAGCCTGAGGATGGCTGATTAATATTACTCGCCGCCAATTGCAGCTTACTGGTATCACATTCAGAAATGCCATGTCATACTCCCTAAACACACTGACTGTGGAATCTGCCACTTGAAATTTTCAGAATCCGAGATGCCGGAAGTATTCCCCGATACAGCAATTATCATATTGGAACCTTCAAGTGGGGCATATGATCAGTACATTCCCGGTTTCTGTCAGGTATTGACTCCCAAACTAAAATTTGATTACAGAACATGAATAATCAAAGGCTAATCAAAAAATCACAGATATTAAGCCTGAAGCAGTGATTTCAGCGACTCGAGCACATTTCCTGCACTGCAAACAGGAACAGGTGATTCTTAGCGGAAGCAATGGGTAATCTCAGAAATTCTGTGCTTTTACTAAGTATCTATAGCTTCTGTCTCCTGCAGGTCTCTGCAACGGATTTTCTTTCTGAGTTTGTTTATAGCCAATCTCCTGACTAAATTCCAGCTAAACGCTGGACTTTAGCCAGGAGACTGGCTGGCAAAATCCCTCAGTGCAGTCCTTTTTATGTTATCTAGGAACCAATAAGAAGAGAGCTCTCAAACCTGAAAGCACAGACTGCATTTTACATCGTGATCTCATCCGGAGCTGATGATTCATCTGTGTCTCCCTCCTTCAGTGTGTTGTAAAAAGAAGCAGAGCCATTTGAAGGGGAACACAGGATAAAATATAATTTACCCTTTGTTTTGCCTCCTGTTAACAACAGACAAACCTGCCTAATTAAGACTGGTTGCCACAGCAACATTGCAGCTGCTTTTGCCTAGATTCTAGCTGGATACATGAAAGCCACCATACCTATCTGTGGTTTTTTGATTGTGACATCGCGCTGTTAAGTGCATCTGGCTTCTTATTCTTTCTGATCTGGTTTTGTTTATTTTTATGTGTTTGATAATGCAGTTAAAATATAATTATTAATGTTTTATATACTACATGTAATATGTAAATATAATATATGATTACAATGGTTCATATAGTTGAATCACAATACATAATATATTTAAGTCCATGAAAATGTTGTATAGTGCGATGGATGTATTGTAGAAAGAAATATTGATTTTAAGCTCTCCTAAAATTGACCTGACTGTAATAAAGTATCCTGCTGTGTCTTAACGATAAAAAAATGAATTCAAGTTAATTATTTTCTTGAAAAAAAATTAAATATATTTATATTATTAACATTTATGTTTGCCTGTCTTTAAGACCTTTTTTTTTTTTTCCTGGTTTTTCGACACTGGGTTTTTCTGTGGTTTTGGAGCCTGTCGTCGAACTAGCTCTTCTACACCAGGCTGCTCTCGAACTCACAGAGATCTGCCTGCCTCTGCCTCCCAAGTGCTGGGATTAAAGGCGTGCACCACCACCGCCCGGCTTTGTTTTTAAGACCTTATAGATGTTTGCACCCCCAACTTTGCGAGAACCTACTTTCATAATGTTTCTTATCATATGTAATTAATATACCTGAAATATTGTCTTAATATAAATTTATTGGTATTTGTTTTAAAAATCCGCTAGATTCCAAATACTAGAATTCCTCTCAAAATTTCATAATCACTATTAAATCTGAACCATATTTTCTATTTTTAATGTATGCAGAACATATTTAAGGAATTTGTATGTCCATTTATTATAAACTATCTATTGGTACATGAATGCCCTACATGGAAAGCTACGCTAATAATAATTCTATAATTCTTTCTCAATTAGCTCAAGACTACAAATAGCTACTACAATAAGGGTTTGGTTTCAGTGTTCTGCCTCTATGCATAGTGCGTTTTTGAGCAATGGCTATACTACAAAAATTATGCCTTTATTTAGAGTAGTTAGAAATTCATTAGGGCAAAACTGCTTACGCATTTACCAATAGTGGTTTGAATGAGATATTTATCAAAACTTGTGCAATTGAGATAGGTTTCCTCTTGTGATTGAAATGTGCCATTCTAGACTAGCTGGCCATGAATACTCAGATAACCTCCTGTTACCACATTTCTCTAATGTCCTGGAAATGTACAATACCAGCATGCCTGCTTTAGAAAACAAATATTCTAAAAATGAATCCAGGTTTGCAAATTTTCAAATGAGCATGTTCCTGACTGTTTTCAATGTAACTGTGAAGGCATAAAAATTAAGATAATGAGTATAAATCACAGACCACATAGTTAACAACTCTAAAGATCATTGTATTCTAATTACTCACAAAATATGATATGATCCTCTGGATATACCAATGTTAAATTATCTTTTCTTAAGAGTAGATAATAATGTCCAAAAAGTGGAAAAATGTCTGGGTTATTCCACTATAATCCTTAAGC